AAGGAGGCGAGGAAAGGAGGCGAGGGAAGGAGATGAGATGGAGGGAGGAGGAGTGAATCAGTGCGAGAGACTCTGACGCGGAAGAAGAAGAAGAATCCGCCTCAGAAGGAAACAGAAGCAGAATGAAAGTGTGTGTTCACACTTGTTGATCGGCGCCCATTTCCAGCTCCCAGGCACCGACTCTCCGGCGTCTTCCTGCCCGGCTTTGCGAGCCCGTTTCCGGGGACTGGACCGGCCGTGACCCCCCCCTCCCCTGGATCTCCCGGAACTCTCGGAGGCAGATGTGTCGGGTTTTACGGGCTCTTTGGGGCGACATGCAACCGGGAGGAAGCCCGGCTTCCTGAGCCGGGGCTCCGGGCTCCGTAACCGGCCCGGTTCCGGGCTTGGCCCCGCCTGGCTCCGGCCGGGGGAATGAGTCCTCCGGCGGCCGACGACGTCATCTCTATCCTCCACAAAGCCTCCGTTGTTGTTGTTATTGCTGTTGTTTGAGTCCAGGCGTCAGCAGGTGGCTGGATTTAAAAAAAAAATTTTTTTTAGACGGGATTCGACCTCCGGAGGGAGAGCGGGGTCGGCTGAGGGAGACACGCCGAGATCAGCGCCCCTTTTCCGGGCAGCGCCGCCGCGTTCGACCCGGTGGGATGACGGAGCTCCGGCGGGGGGATAGCTGAACTCACCCCGGCCTTTAGGCGCCAGACAGCGGTGTCGGGGAGCTCCAAGGACCGCCTGCCGGAGGGAGGGAGAAGGGGCGGGAGATGGCGGACGCGGGCCGGGAAGAACCGGCGGACACCGGGACATCGAGCCCGCTGGTGGCCAGGAAAAGGGTCGCGAAGCCCCGGGAGAACCGGCCTCTGGACACCCGGTCCCCGGAGCACCGGATCCGGGGGCACCGGCCCCTGGACCGGTCCTATAAAGCCGGTTTCCCGGAGCACCGGCCCCTGGAAAACCGGTCCTTAGACACCCGGTCCCTGGACCCCCAGATCCTGGACCCCAAGTCCCTGGATACCCGGTCCCTAGACCCCCAGATCCTGGACCCCAAGTCCTTGGATACCAAGTCCCTAGACACCCGGTCCTTAGACACCCACCCCCTGGATACCCGGTCCCATAAAACCCGGTCCCTGGACCCTAAGTCCCCGGACTCCTGGCCCCTGGATACCAAGTCCCTGGATACCAAGTCCCTGGACTCCAAATCCCCAGACCCCCGGTCCCATAAAACCCGATCCCCAGACTCCTGGTCCCTAGATACCAAGTCCCATGAAACCAGGTCCCTAGACTCCCGGTCCCTAGATACCAAGTCCCTGGATACCCGGTCCCTAGATACCAAGTCCCTAGATACCAAGTCCCTGGATACCCGGCCCCTGGACCCCGGGTCCCCGGCCTCCCGGCCCCCGTACCGGGGCTGGGCCCCGGGCCACAGCTTCCGGAGGGTGACCCTGACCAAGCCCACCTTCTGCCACAGCTGTAGTGACTTCGTCTGGGGGCTGGTCGGGTTCCTGTGTGAAGGTGAGGTCCCCCTTACAGCAGAACCAGGGTCAGAACCGGATCAGAACCGGATCAGAACCGGTTTAGAACTGGATCAGAACCGGATCAGAACCGGTGGGTCTGGACCCAAAGGACCACAGGGCTCCCTTCCTTCCTTGCCTCCTCTCCTCCTTCCTTTCCTTCCTTGTCTCCTCTCCGTCCTTTTCTTCCTTGCCTCCTTTCCATATCTCCTTTCCTTGTCTCCTCTCCTTCCTTGACTCCTTCCATATCTCATTTCCTTGTCTCCTCTCCTTCCATGCCTCCTCTCCTTGTCTCCTTTCCTTGTCTCCACTCCTTCCTTGACTCCTTCCTTCCGACCTTCCTTCCTTCCTTGCCTCCTTTCCTTATCTCCTTTCCTTGTCTCCTCTCGTTTTCTTGTTTCCTCTCCTTCCATGTCTCCTTTCCTTCCATGATTCGTTTCCTTCTTCTCCCTCCTTGTTTCCTTTCATTGTCTCCTTTCCTTCCTTGCCTCTTTTACTTATAACCTCTCCTTCTTGTCTCCTTTCCTTGTCTCCTCTCCGTCCTTCCTTGCCTCCTTCCTTGTCTCTTCTCCTCCTTTCTTCCTTCCTTCCTTCCTCGACTCCTTTCCTTATATCCTTTCGTTGCTTCCTCTCCTTTCTTGTCTCCTCTCCTTCCTTGTCTCATTTCCTTGCCTCCTTTCCTTTCCCCCTTTCCTTGTGTCCTCTTCTCTATGGTGAATTGCTTCCTCCGGTTGGCATGGCAACAGCAGACTGGGATGCTGCATGTCTGTGTGCCTCCTCCTCCTCCTCTTCCTCCTCTTCGTCGTTATGTAACCTTCCTCCTTTAAGCCTCACTGGGATTAACTCGCTGTGATGTCATCAAAGAGCGCCGACGACCCTCAGACCCCTCAGCTCTCACAATTCTTGTTTTGTGTCTCTTTGTGGTTGTTTTCTGTTTATTTGTGGTTATTTCGTGTCTGTTTTATGTTGTTTTGTGTCTCTTTTATGTTGTTTTGCGTCTCTTACTGGTTGTTTTGTGTCTCTTTTCTGTTGTTTTGTATCTTTGTGGTTGTTTTGTCTCTCTTTCTTGTTGTTTAGTGTCTCTTTTATGTTGTTTTATGTCTTTTTTATTAGTTGGTGTCTCTTTGAGGCTGTTTTGTGTATCTTCCTGGTTGTTTTGTGTCTCTTTGTGGTTGTTTTGTGTCTCTTTGTGATCATTTTGTGTTTATTTGTGGTTATTTCGTGTCTGTTTTATGTTTTTTTATGTCTCTTTTATATTGTTTTTGTATCTTTGTGGTTGTTTTGTGTCTGTTTGTATCTCTTTCTGGTTGTCTAGTATCTCTTTTATGTTGTTTTGCGTCTTTTTTATATTGTTTTGTGTCTCTTTGAGGCTGTTTTGTGTGTCTTCCTAGTTGTTTTGTGTCTCTTTGTAGCTGATTTGTTTCTCTTTGTGATCACTTTGTGTGTCTTGGTGGTCATTTCGTGTCTGTTTTATGTTGTTTTGTGTTTCTTTGTGCTCATTTTGTGTCTCTTCCTTGTTGTTTTGTGTTTCTTTTATGTTGTTTTGTGTCTCTTTGTGCTCATTTTGTGTCTCTTCCTGGTTGTTGTTTGTCTCTTTGTAGCTGTTTTGTGTCTCTTTTATGTTGTTTTTGTATCTTTGAGGTTGTTTTGTGTCTCTTTGTGTCTGTTTGTGTCTCTTCCTGGTTGTTGTGTGTCTGTCTGTGGCCGGGGGGGTCAGTCCTCCCCCCAGATAGTCTGTGTGCCCCCCCCCCCTCCGGCTGAACTGGCTCTCCAAGCTGCCAGCAGCTGCTTTCTAATTTTAGCTCCTCCTGATCAGATTTGCATCACATTTCCATCCTTACGGTCAGTCTGCAGGAAGTGGAGCCCAGACGGGGGGGGGGGGGGGGGGGGGGGG